AGGCGGAGAGTTCTCCTCTGGCCTCCTGAGTGCCTACTGTCGTGCACGAGGCATCCGTCAGACCTTCACGCTTCCGGACTCACCACAGCAGAATGGGATTGCTGAGCGCCGCATTGGCATGGTCATGGACGTCGCTCGTACGTCCATGATGCATGCGGCTGCTCCCCATTTTCTGTGGCCGTTTGCGGTCAGGTACGCTGCGCACCAGATCAACCTCCACCCCAGGGTCTCTCGACCGGAGACCTCCCCAGCCCTGCTGTGGACGGGGAAGGTTGGCGATGCGTCGGCGTTCCGGGTTTGGGGATCTCGGGCGTTTGTTCGCGACGTGTCTGCGGACAAGCTGTCCCCTCGTGCTTCTCCCTGCGTCTTCCTGGGGTTCCCCCCCGACGCCCCTGGGTGGCAGTTTTACCACCCCACCTCTCGACGTGTTCTGTCCTCCCAGGACGTCACGTTCGACGAGTCGGTACCCTACTACCGCCTCTTCCCCTACCGCACTCCGTCCCTCCCCCCACCCCCGCTCTTCCTGGTACCAGGTCCCCCCTCGGTAGTCCCCCTCCCCCCTCAGGGTCCTGCCCCTTCAGGTGTGTCCCAGGTAGACGCGGTCGAGCCTGTCGAGGTCACTGGTGACTCTGGTGCTGCTGCGGGAGCTGAGCCTGGGGGTGCGGAGTCTGGGGGTGCTGAGCCTGGGGGTGCTGAGCCTGGGGGTGCTGAGCCTGGGGGTGCTGAGCCTGGGGGTGCTGTGCCTAGGGGTGCTGAGCCTGGGGGTGCTGCGTCTGGGGGTGCTGAGCCTGGAGGTGCCGAGCCTGGGGGTGCTGTACCTGGGGGTGCTGAGCCTGGGGGTGCTGTGCCTGGGGGTGCCTCGTCTCGCCGGGAGCCACTCTCCCCGCAGGAGCTGCGTGAGTGGTTTGCCAGGCGCTGGAGGTGTGCTGCTGGTGTTGGTGGTTCTTCGGCTGCAGAGGGTACTGCTGCCTCGCGTCCCGCCGGTGCTCGTACTGTGGGTGCTGGAGCTGCTGGGTCTGAGAGTTCTCCTGGAGCTGGTGCTACTGAGGGTGTTGGCGCTGAGACTGCCGTTGGCGGTCCGACTGACAGTGCTCCTGGTGCTGCTGCTGGAGGTTCTGGAGCTTCTGGTGGTGCTGCTGGAGGTGCTGCTGGAGTGGGTACTCCTGCCGGGGCTGCTGGCACTGTTCCTGCTGTTTCTGGTGTCGCCACGCGGCCCCGACCTTACTTCGTTCCGCTCCTGCAGCAGGTTCTTGGTCTTCCGCCTCCTCCTCCTCCTCCCTTAGAGGGTCCGCAGCCTGTCCGGTCACAACCACAGCTACAGCCTGCCTCCCCTTTGCCTGCTCCATCTCCCTACACTGGTCCGACTGGAGGTCTTACTGAGCGTCGTGAGCCTGCGTCTCGTCCTGTGTCGCCTGTTCGTACTGAGCGCGCTAGTGGTCGCGGGTCGCGTCAGCGTCCTCCTCCTGTCCCTGGCACGCACCGGATGTCACTGCGTCCGTCCACTGCTCCTCTGCGTGCCCCTTTGCCTTCTCCTCCTGCTTCCTCTCTTCCTGCTCTTGCCGACCCGGAGTCGGACTCCCTTCGTGCTGCCAGTCCTACTGTCACGCGTCTCCTTGCTACAGCTGTCACTGACCCTTCCTTCGAGTCGTCTGCTGCGTCTGCCCTTGTCACTGAGCTTGTCGACTTTGCTGCGCGCTGTCGTCTAGACTACGCTGCCCGTCTTGTCACTGAGTCTGAGTCCGCCTGTCCTCCGTCCGTCGGGGGTGAGTGTGCCCTTGGCACGGACGTCCTTGAGGACAGGCAGGAGGAGTTCCAGTGTCTGGCCGCCGCTTCACCTCGTCTCGCGTCTGTACTGCTAGCCCCTGAGGGAGACCCGGATGCACCAGACATCCCGACTCCGCGCTCTTACGCGGAGGCGATAGAGGGTCCCTACTCCTCTCAGTGGCAGGCAGCTATGGATGCAGAGATGGCTCCTGGAAGTCCACAGGCACCTACGTTGACGCTGTTCCCCCCCCTGGGGCGAACATCGTCAGTGGCATGTGGATTTTCAGGGTGAAGCGGCCGCCGGGTTCTCCGCCTGTCTTCAAGGCGCGTTACGTGGCTCGTGGCTTCAGTCAGCGGCAGGGGGTTGACTACTTTCAGACCTTCTCCCCCACCCCGAAGATGACCACTCTTCGGGTCCTGCTGCACGTTGCTGCTCACCGTGACTACGAGCTGCACTCTCTCGACTTCAGCACAGCTTTCTTGCAGGGCAGCCTGCACGAGGAGATCTGGCTGCGTCGCCCACCTGGCTTCACTGGGTCTTTCCCTCCTGGTACCCAGTGGAGTCTCCGGCGTCCAGTCTACGGTCTCCGCCAGGCGCCACGTGAGTGGCACGACACACTGAGGACTACGCTCGCGGCACTTGGGTTTGCTCCTTCTACTGCCGACCCGTCGCTGTTTCTGCGCACCGACACCTCTCTGCCGCCGTTCTACATCCTCGTGTACGTCGACGACTTGGTCTTTGCCACGGCTGACAGTGCTGGACTCGCCTACGTGAAGTCCGAGCTGCAGAAGAGGCACACGTGCACTGACCTGGGTGAACTGCGCAGCTATCTTGGCTTGCAGATCACCCGGGACAGAGCACGCCGCACCATTACCCTGACTCAGTCACACATGGTGCAGCAGGTCCTTCAGCGCTTCGGCTTCACGTACTCCTCGCCTCAGGCCACTCCTCTGCCTACTCGCCACTCGCTCTCAGCTCTGCCTTCGGATGAGTCCGTAGAGTCGAGTGGCCCGTATGCAGAGCTTGTTGGCTGCCTCATGTACCTGATGACCTGCACTCGACCTGACCTTGCATACCCTCTTAGCATTCTCGCACGCTATGTTGCTCCTGGGAGACACCGACCAGAGCACATGGCTGCAGCGAAGAGGGTGTTGCGCTACTTGTGCAGTACGTCGGGCATGGGGCTAGTGCTTGGAGGGCGCAGTCCAGTGGTCCTCACTGGGCACGCGGACGCTTCTTGGGCTGACGACCAGGCTACGCAGCGGTCGTCACAGGGTTACACCTTCAGCCTTGGTTCCGGCTCTGTTTCGTGGCGGGCTACCCGCTCGTCTTCTGTTCTCGGCTCCAGTTGTGAGGCTGAGATCTACGCCGGGGCTATGGCTGCACAGGAGTTACGCTGGCTCACCTACCTGTTGACCGACCTTGGAGAGCAGCCTCGTTCTCCTCCAGTCCTGTACGTAGACAACAAGGCCATGCTGGCCTTGTGTCGAGAGCAGAGACTGGAGCACAGAACGAAGCACATTGCTCTCCGCTACTTTCTTGCTCGTGAGCTACAGCAGCGTGGACAGTTGCGACTTGCGTACGTGGCCTCTGAGGCCAACACTGCTGATGTCTTCACCAAGGCACTTGCGCCTTGTGATCATCAGCGTTGTTGCACGCAGTTGGGTCTTGTGCCTGTCTTGCCTCACTTGCTCTCCTCTTGACCTTGCTTGTACCTTCGCCTATATATACTCTTGCTCTTGCTTACTTGACTCTTGTATATCTCTATATATGATCTTGCATGTGAACTGGCCATGTGGCCTTGAACTTGTGCTCGGAATGTGTGGTGACTTTGTGATCCACCCTGAGCTTTGCTTTGCTTTGCTTGACTGGTCCTGTGACCCCTTGTTCTCCCCCACTTTGCCTATGGGGGTGTGTCAGAACTATATAGCTTATACTATTGTGTAGGCTATAGTGGGGTATCCCATAGGGGGTACTACCCAATTAGGGTTTCCTATTTGTACTCACTTCTTTCATAGTCATTTCACTCTCGTTCTCTCTTTCACAAGACTGATGGCAAGAGTCGCTCTGCCTACATCTTTAAGCTGGGAGGAGGAGCAATCAGCTGGTATAGCAAAAAGCAAGACAGTGTTGCAGCAAGCGTTTCTGAAGCTGAGTACAAAGCTCTATCGGAGGGGGCCAAGGAGGCCATTTGGTTGAGGAGTCTGTTGGCAGAGATGCATGTGGGGGATGGGGGGGCTATTCCATTGCTCTGTGATAATGAGGCAGCTGTCTCCCTTGCCCACAATCCCGTTCTCCATCAGCGCACCAAGCACATTAAGGTGGCATGGCACTTTGTACGGGATGCGGTGCGCCAGCAGGAGGTCGAGGTGCACTCAGTACGCTCCCACCTCCAGGATGCCGACATGCTCACCAAAGCTCTTCCAAGCTTGCAGCTGCATGAGAACCTGGAGCGCATCGGCATGCGAGTGATTGCTGCGAAGGCCAAGGCTTCATTCGCTGGAGGGGTTGTATTTTGATTTATGGGTGAACTTTAATGCTTATTGGAGCAAGGGGGGGTGTTGGAATTAAGGTTAATTCGGGTTGCTCCAATAAACATATGTAGTGGTACATCTACACTATGGTAGTGTAGAATACATTGGTTGGGTTGGGAGAACTTGTGGTGTACACTCTTTAGAGTGGACCACCTCCCAAACCCTATAGGTTAGGGTTCTCTCTTGTTGGCATTTCACTTTTTGAAACCACTTTGGTTCTAGCATGGTTCATGCCCAAGTGGGCTCCTAGGATTCCTAGGCTTTAGGAGGAGAATCTAAGACTACTAAAGCTTCCGCTAGTATCTTAGTCCATTCTAATAGTGCAGGCTGTATGCCTTGCATACCTCTTATCTTTGCTCCGCTTTTCTAAGCGCCTAAGAAGCAATGCTTTGTTGGCAACGGATTTTCTCTTATATGAAGTTCAAGTTTTTGGCTGAAGAAAAATCTTTTCACCCTCACATATTACAGACAAACATACACATTCTCCCAGCAAAGTAACTGCATTTGATCCTATGCACTTGATATGCTTGATATGCTACCGTGCTCCGGGCCCCCACAGCATCTGCTACAATTCAGCTCCCGACCTGCCCATCAATTCTCAATCTGCCATTTCCCATTCCTCCTGCGACTGCCACTACACATCCGCGGCACGCCGCCTTCCCCACCGCCTCCTGCTGCTAGTTCCTCAACCCCTCCTGCCGCTACTTCGCCAGCCCCTTGGTCGCCGCGTCCTGCAGCTTCACCGCGCCGTCCAGAAGCAGCACCACGGCTTTTTGCAGCGACGCAATTCCCCCCTGCAGCTTCAACGACCCCTCCTTTACCACCTCCTGCTGCCGCTTCTCCACTCCGTCCGCCACAATCACCGTCCCGCCTCCCAGCGCGTCCACCGCTTCCCCCAGCCCCGCCATCCCCGCAAACAGAGTTTCCGCCGCCTCCTTCACCGGTGCGAAGATACTCGTCCCTGTGCCGTCCAGAATCGATGTAGAGCCGTTCTTTAGCAAGTCCATCGCCTCTCCCATCCCGGTCAACCCCGCCTGCACCTTCCCCGCCCCGTCCTTCAAAATCGAGCTCTGCTGTTTCGCCCCCGCGTCCTGCACCATTGCTGCGCCGTCCTGCAGCAAGGTCGCCATCTCGTTCACCTTCGCCACGCCCTCCTTGAGCGGCGCAATCCCCGCTTGCAGCTTCACCGGATCATTCGCCGTCTCCTGAGGGGGCTGCTGCCGGGTCACCGTTCCCTGGGGTTGCTCGATCGCCGCCGCCGCTCCAGCAGGCAGTGCCTCAGGAGGCTGCTGCTGCTGCGTCTGCGAAACTATTTGCAGTTTGCGTTGGAGAGGAGTGTCTGAGGCGAGCACGGAAATGCCCGAGTCGCCAGGCGTCGCGGAAATCGACAGCCCAAACGAAGATTCGTGTACGAGTCCTGAGTGTAGGGGGGATTGGGGAAAGAATTGGGGGAAGCTGATATTTGTCACTTGGAACTTTAAAAAAAGTGAGCAGGTCTCATCATGGGGTGAAGGTAATGACGCTAGGTGCGTCGGTGAGAGAACAAAAATTCAATCATTCTGGAGGCCCTGCATAATCGCTATGATCATTTCACTCATTCTCTTGTCATGAGAACGTCTTACGCAAATTGTTTTCGTCGTGATCGCTTAGAAGTCGCCTCCCCAAAGCTCCTTCGATTTCACGAGCTCCGCAAGACAAGACCAGCACGAGAAGGAATCCCAGCAACATACCGAGAAGAATTTGCACGATCAGAGTCACTAATGCAGCTGTTCTAAATTAGAGAGATGGGTTTGAAAGTATGGGAGTCAGTTTACTCATTGAGACTCCAAGAAACTCATGATTTAGGCTGAAGTTTCGCTCCAGTCGAATTATGTGTTTCAAGCTCTCATTGGTCAGGACATATGCGCTCCGTGAATTATAAGAGGCACATATTATTCACCCTTCCAATTACGTTTTTGTGTGCAACTTCTTCACAATTCCAATAATGCACGAGACCTGCGACACGGTGGAATCCCACGAAGGCTTTATTAGGATTTCGCTGTGGCTTCCGATTGTCGCAAAAGCAATCATGGTTCCATTTCGCGACGTTGTGACCTGGTTACAAATCGTTTGACAGCACTTCATTTGATACACTATGAGACTCTCCTTCTGCACACGTAAAAGCAAACAGCATAAAATATTTCTCTAGGTCCTCGTAGTATTAGCCTCACTCTGCAAATGGAAAATATGTAGCTGCCATTATTCTTTACTGAGTCGAATTCATCAAATGCGATGCTCTAGATAGAGTGGTGCACCACCCAACTTTGTGGTCCTTTTTTTATTTCGCAATTACCCTCGAATAATTTTTCCCCAACCTCGGAAACTAGAGGTGTGTGTTTGCAAAAACACAAGTGCGAATCTGCTTTCCCAAGTCCCGAAGTATGGAAATTCCAAAAGGATGAGGCTGCGTCGCAATTGAAGGCGTGTTGCAATTGCCGGTGCACTGCATCGGCTCGGGACGTTAGAAGGCTCCAGGCAGGCGGGAGGCCAAAAACAGGCAACGATTCGGGAAAGAAAGGTTTCAAGTTAGTGATTAAAAGAGCTATTAGCTAGGGTTATGCTAGGAAATAAAATTTGCTTGCGCGATTTCTGTAAACATTTTATGGCCTCTTGCGTTCCTGGAGCCTTCCTGGACCCGTGCCACGAGCCGAGCCGATGGAGTGCACCGCGAATTACAACAGGCCGTAAAGGATGGTTTTCAGAGATTACCCCCTACTGCCTCTGCACCTCCCGTCCCTCACTTCCTCCCCCACTTCCTCGTCCACTTCTCCCCCTTACCCGCCCACTTCCTGCCCTCGCCACCCTTCTGTTCCGTCCCCACAAACCGCCGTCCCTGCGCACCTCCCCCCCGCGTCATTCTCTGCAGTAGCCCTGATCATACCCTGACCGCGAGTCTGCTCTTTTCTCTTTCCTCTCTTTCCTCCCTTCTCACTTGGTCACGACGACCCACACGCGTCCTGCTGCTGCTCCACCCTAACTTGCCGCCATGGTTAGTCCCCTCCTTAGCCTTCCCGCACCGCGTGTGTTTTAAATTGTCGCGCTACCTCTGCCGTGGCGCTCTTACCGCCGTTACTTCTCGTTGTGTCGCTGGCCTTCTTATTACCTGCTCCGAATCTGACCAGTTTGCGATTTTAGGGTTTGCTGTTATTGGCAAGCCCTGCACCCTTGCATTCGTACGGTCTCACCCAGGGACCAATCAAAGCGAGGGCGTGTTAGGTTTAGGGTCTCACCCTGACATGCGTTGCGTTTACGGGCTAGGGTTAGGTGCTCGAATTTTGAACAAACAAAAGGGTGCAAAGTCATCTGTTCTGCGTCTCTCCGGCGTCATTTACGGCCCATTCCCTCTTACTTTGACCTTTCCTAGTTCCTCTGTCTGGCCCACTCGACCCATGCGCATTATAAGGAAGCAATGCGACGTCAATTTAATAGCTATCAAGCTTACGTAGAGAACCCTGTCTCCTCGGTGGCTTAATAATAACCTTTCCGTTCCCTGCTCCCATCGCCCCTCCACCCCATCCACCCCACCCCACCCAACCCCACTTCTTCTCCCCCCCCTCCCTCCCCCCCCCCCCTCCTCCGCCCCCTACCGCACGACACCGAACGGCACCGCACAGCCGTCCCACAAGGCCTTCCGCATCAAGATCAAGCTCGCGAAGAAGATGAAGCAGAACCGGCCCATCCCCTACTGGATCCGCCTGCGCACCGACAACAAGATTCGGTACGTTCGGAAGTAAAAGGAGTAATTTTTTTGAAATGCCAGAGAACAGAATGTTGTATGTTGCACCGCCTTTGTCTCCTGGGATCGTTTTACGGTCAGAATTCTCGAAAGGCTTGAAAGCGAAGCAGAACCGGCCTATTCCTTACTGGATTTTCTGCGCACTGACAACAAGATTTGGTACGTTCAATCTGGAGAACAAACCTCAAGACTTGGTAAGGTACGTTATACTCGTTGTCTTCCGGACCTGATTAGTTCATTTTATCTGCTGAAGGGTGTCGAAATTCTTAATGATGAAGCTGAGTCGGCCCCTTCGCTACTGGAACCGTTTTGATGCGTTCGACTAAGACGTCGAGATCTGATATCTTATGTTTTTCCGCCTGCATTCGGGCGTTCCGTCTTTTTGCCCCTGGATCCCTCCATTTGCCCCACCTCCCCTCCGCTCCCATGCTTTCCCCCACAGCCCTCCCCCCTTACCCTCCCCTTACCCCTTACACCCGCCCCCCCTTCCCCATCGCGCATCACCCTGTCTTTTTCGTCCCCGAGTATTCTTTCCACGTACGAGGGGAAGGGAGCATGGAGCTAGGGTTAGTGTAGCAAGCAGCTCTAGCTAGTCTCAAAGGTGATTATATGGAATAGAAGTGGCGAGGATCGACGAGATTTGGATCAGATTTATTTGAGATATGGTAAGATCCGCTGAGGAGCAGAAGAGTAGGCATTATTTGACGGTTCAAGTCCAACGGGAATACGCAGGTTTAACTTCAGATGAATGAGAATAGGCAAGGTTCGAATGAGATTCTGATTAAATTCTGTCGAAACTTGTGTGAGATACGGGTGATATTCGGTGAGCAGCAGAAGAGCTGAAGTTTCAACTCTCAACGGAGTCGGTTTAAGCGCGCCGGATCAAGCAGCGAGCAGCTTTAGCTAGTCGCATCGGGTTTACATCGAGTAGAACAAACGAGAGGACAGAAACTGACAGGCCACATAGCGACAGGGCAGGATCAGGGCAGAATCCTACAGGACTGGAACTGACAAGGCAGAGGCTGACAGACAGGGCAGAAACCGACAAGGGGGGAACGGACAGGGCGGGAACGGAGACAAGAACGGAGAGGGCAGGAAGGGAGAGGGCGGAAACCTACAGGGCAGAAACCGACAGGGGATTGTCGAGAAACCGACAGGGCAGGCACGAGCGAACGCTGTGACGCGCTTTTCTTTCAGGGTAAAGAGATATGCGGCTGCGAGTCAGTTATTCGATGCACTCTCGAATGGCATTGGCTTAGGTAGGAATGACGCTGACTGGGTCTGTTACCTGGGGAGAGTGGCGAGTTGGTTAGGAGGTCTGGACTCACATCCCCCTAGTCACAGACGCTTGGACAAACACCAGGATCCCTACGCCAGGGTTTAGGGAAGCGTCGGCACGTGAGGCGCACGGAGGTTGAAGTAACAGGAGTCTGTCTTCTCACCCTTGTACCTGTTTTGGTCCCCTCCTCCCTGCTCCTCCCCTAAACTGTTCCTTCCCGCAGGTACAACGCCAAACGCCGGCACTGGAGGCGTACGAAGCTGATAAGTACAAGAGTATATCTGATCCCCTTCGTAATTGGCCTGTGTGACTCTGTCTGTTCCCCCAACTGCTCCCCGCAGGTACAACGCCAAGCGCCGGCACTGGAGGCGCACGAAGCTGGGCTTCTAAGCACGGAGCAGCATACAGGGCGCTGCTGACGTGGCAGGATTCAGGGCATGACTTGGGGCAGCTAGATGCATCATGGACGGAGGGAGTTTGCAGTGTCGAATCTGTGCCGGATTACGCTGCTGTTGCCTTGTCACTATGTTGTACATGAAATAGGGCTGATGAAGCATTTAGGGGTGGTTTTTTCTGCTGCTCCGTGACCATCCAAAGTAAGAAACGCAGCTTCTTGTAAGGGTGTTTCAGCCTGATTTTGTGTACGTGATCTTGGCTTCAGTGAAATTGGCTTTTGTCTAAAACAAGGCTAGTGGTTCAGTGGATTAGAAGTGGTATGAACGATCAACATTTAATGTAAGTCTCCATCCATAATCATGTTTCCACGAATCCCAACGTTATGCTATCGTAATGCTGGAATATGTAGCAGTGGTATCGCATTCTTTTTTTTTTTTTTTTTTTTTTTTTTTTTTGGGCTGCGAAGCAACCCTTTACGATCGATTTTGACAAATTTTCTTTTCATGTTTTTTTTTTACTTGAAAATAAAATTCGTAAGCTACAGTACCACCCTTCCCATTGTGCATTTCTTTGTAGTAGTTTTTCTCTTACATGCTATACTGTTTACTTTATATCTTTTACTGTTTGATGTTGTAGTGATAACTTCACGTATTGAATGTTACGAATATTAGTAATGAAATACACACCACACATGCTTAAATGAATGTAATGCAACAAGATATATAGATGCATAATACTGATACATGGATGAAAATGCTTTGGCATGAAACGAAATGCTGAAATGCAACATATGATATATCATACAAATGCGTGATAGTTAACGACCCAAAAACTAGGCTACCGCATCCCCTGCATAGCATGGGGGGGGAAGTCGACAGCAAAGTCTTTGAATAATCTGTTGGAAATCCGAATACAGTATAACGAATACTGTATACCAGTGTGCTGTTTGGTTTTAGTGTAGTCCTCTTTATAAGCTTCCAGGTCCTACAATTATTGTAGGGGCCAGAATTATTGGAGGTCAGCATTATTGGAGGGTAGAGGGTACAATTATTGGTACACCATTATTGGTGTGAATGGGTCATTCTGGAGGGGTAGCTGGATGCATATATACCCTGCTGTGTCAAATCATTGAGCTACACATTGTGTCATCATTCTACTTTTCAATGATCAATGCAAGATTTCTATCTTGTTCTTTTCTACAAACACGTTTCCGCTACGCTGGCACTATGCCTTTCTAGCATGGTATCAGAGCTACTCTAGGGGGCATGCTGCCAAAACTGGTTCAGGAATTTACTGGCATACAGTTTGGATAGGTACCTGCATACAGTCGGAGTACCGCACACCTGGTCTACGCTTTCGTACACCTGGTGTTCGCTGTTGGTTACAACCGCGCGTTTACCGCACACTTGGTGGACGGTTTTGTCAAGGTCATGGCGCACTTCGATGGCGAAGTGGATCCTGGATATGCGGCTTTTGAAGAAGCCATCATGGCTCAGCATGAGCACCTGGAAAGCATGATTGCAAGGGCACCACCAACCCTCCAAGCTTCGTTAAGGGACAAGTTCGGAATGACAATCCAGCCAAGAGCAAAAATCTCTCATGAGTTCAGCAATCCGTCCACCCATGAACAATCTCATTCAAGCACTCCACGTACTAACCAAACTCGTGCAAATGTTCATGCAGGAATTGATGGTGAAGGGGAAATGGGCATACCTCAAGGAGGAGAGTCATCCCAATGGAGGGATGCATCCGTCCAAGGAGAGGAGATCGCCAATTCCGCACCTCAATC